TACCTACCTACCTACCTACCTACCTACCTAATGTATATTTGGATTTCACAGTTTCACACATACTATACTGATTATTAGTTGGAAACATTCTTTTTGTTTGGATGGCATCTTTTCTTCCACCAAAGATGACAAAGCCACAGTATAGTTCAAGTCAAATATGATATCTGAACCTTTTCATATAATCTGGACCTCCCTCACTCTGTAACGGTCCATTAAGAGGTGCTATTGTGTTTCATTGTCATTACAGTAAGCTATTGGCTATTCTTCTGTCAGTGAATCAATAGCTTACCAAGGTGCATAAGTAGCCCGACTCAGAGCAAAGACAAAAAGCTCCTGCCAGTCTTTCATTTACCACAGCCAGCTAAACAGTGGCTATATCAGTTATTTAGTTTGATAAAGACATAGGCAATGACAAAGGTTCTGCTGACCTCTCAGTAATCTTTTTCTTTTTGACATTTATCCTGCACACCACAGCTGTCAACACAAATTCCTCAGCTCTCTTCTTACTGCATTAATGTTAGTGCATTATTTTCCATGAAACTCCTTTATTTTTAAAGGATAAGGCCAGTCCTTTTCTATTTTATTAATATGTTCAGCAGTCTCTGTGCAGAGACTAAGGCGGATGGTGAACCGTTAATGTCTGTCAGCTGTCAGTCCTGGATTAGCTTGTTCATCTGTGTGATGGACCTCTGTTGTTCAAAAACTATTAAAAACGCATCAGATAAACACACCACTGCAATGGGTGACATGTTTTTTCATTACGAAACCCCAGACCTGACTGTGTTGCCCCAGAGGCTCCGAACAGCCATAATTTCCTGAAGTTAGCATGAGTTGGAGTCAAGTGAGTATGTGCAAGATCTTGCTTTGTTTACATTCCACTAGCTACTCACGCTCAGGTCTGGTGTTTGCTAATGAAGAAATATGTCACCCAGTGCAGCGGTGTGTTTCACTGATGTGCTTTTAATCATTTTTGAACAACAACAGTGGTCTATGGCACAGACAAATATGCTGATCCAGCACTGACACACTGAGGGACATTAACCATGAGTAGAAGCAACTCATTGCCGGTTTAAATTTCTGTATGGGGAGTGTTGAAAACACTGTTAATGTAGAAAATGACCAACCTTATCCTTTTGCAGTCTGAGAATTATTACCTTATGTGTTCTTTGTGATTTAGACCAAAAGCGTTGCACCTGCATCGTGTCAGTCATTCATTATTCTGTTAAACCTGTTGGGAGTAAAAAGGATTTGTGTCAGATTATGTTCATCCTCTACAATGTGTCTGCTGTTTGGTTTGTATAGAGCTGTTTTTCTGTAAGAAAGCATTGAGGTGACAGTTGCCACAGCTTGACGCTGAACCGTATCTCTAGTAATAGCTCTGTATGACGTCTTGGGATTTACACAAGCTGACGTCTATCCATGTATTAATCCGTCTGTCGTTTCTAGGCACAAAGCCTTCACAGGCTACACAATTGTTGATTTCATTCTGAAAATGGGGGTTCAGTGTCCTTGGTTAGTATTCATTAGGAAATTGTAACTCTGCAGTCCTGCAGTTACTCTCAGCTACATTTAAAAAATTTTTAAGGAATTGGTATATGGTGGGGAATACAAGTTATGTAGGTACTGTAACTTACTGACATTATTGTTCTGCAGTAGAATGCAATGCATGCCAAGGTTTTCCAATACTGCAGGGTTGACATAACTGATTACCATGAGTCAGTCGTCCTGTTCCCCCAGAGCAATATCACTAGCTGCTAAATAATTTATTGAAGCTTTGATATAATATCTTCCAGCATGGAGCATTGACGTGCTGCCACCCAGGATGAGACGTACAGTCACATAGCATGAGTTGTACTATGTTTCGTTGTGAAGGTACTTTGCTTGTGTCAAATCAAACTTCATTTTGTGAGAGAATGACACAGTGTGACTTTAGTCTACAACATCTCACCTATGCATCTTAATAAGACTGTGCAGTCATTAAAAAGAATCAAGCTTGTATCCACCACAAGTCCGATTCCAGCCTGTGATTAATGTTCCCAGGTCTTTGAAGATTCTGATTTCAAAAGCACATTAATTTGGCTTTGTATAGCATTAAAAACTCTGAGGTGGAAACAGGGAGAGTTTGCAATGTCTTAACATTTACAAAACAGCTCCCAGATGAGTTTTTGCGTGAGGTTTCTTGGGAAGGATCCCTAAAAGGCCTATAGAAATGACTATAACCATCTCTTCGGGGGGTTGTCATTCAATGAAGTAAGCAATCACTGTAACCTGTATTTTATACCGCAATGATTCCCATTGCCATTCTCAGTGTGAGGACTGATGTGTGACTGCTGTCATGAATGACTTTATATTTTCCCAGGTAAACATCACAGGAGTCACGGTACTAGTGATGATGCAACTTGTTGCGGCATTATGAAATCCATTTTAGCAGTGTGTGATGCAAACAGAGCCAGCTGGTCAGTCAGTTCCAGTCCTCCAACTGAACTGATGTTTCTGTGTCCAGCTGCCTGTCAATGGGCTTGTACTCAGCTTTTAGTTTGGAGATAGAAGGTTGTGTTGGCCTGGGGGAAGATTAAAGGATTTGTTCTCATGTCTCTAAAACACCTGTCTGAGCTTAAAATATCCCAAAGACACTAGGTCTTCACTCTTATATTTTTAAATGTTCAAGTGTGGATTTTGTTTCATAGTACAGCATCCAGGTGTTGTTTACATTATGATATTGGATCCTTCAATTGATGATCCTTGAAAAGAATATCTGACATTGGAAGAATATGTGCTCAAGAAACAAATTCTACAAATCTATACCATGTCATTCTGGGTTTCATCAGTGTAAGCAGGCTGTTGCTGTAAATATAAAAGGAGGTGAACCACTGTTGATAAGGGCAATGAGAAACATCGGGGATTTACTCAAAGTTAAAGATTCAGTTATAGCAATATATCTCGCCAGTGATTAAGACAGACTTGCCCTGACTCCCTCTTTGTTTTCTTCTTCTTCTTCTCTCAGCCACCATCACGAGTTCTTCAGAAAACGATGACCGTAGCGGCTCCAGCCTGGAATGGAGTAAGGATGGCAGCCTGAGAGGCAGCAGGCACCATGGCTTGGCACAGAGTCTGCGGGCTGAAACCTGCTCTCCTGTGGCCGAGGAGGACTCTAACAGCGCCACAGCAACACCAGCTGACACCCAATCTAAGACAGAGCAGCAGCAGCAGCAGTCCAACATATCAGCAGGGGCATCAGGACCACTACAGCCTCCAAGTCACTCACCTGAGGGACCCATTCCATGTCCACCACAGACGACATCTTCTCTCATGATGCCGAGGCCAAACTCTGTAGCAGGTAGGAGCTTTTGAAATCTGGATGGCTTCTGTGCAGACGAGAAAAGGGAATGGTTCCATATACTGTACCTGTCTTCTGTACATCTCTGCTTTTATTCAGCATTATATGAAACATTTTAAAAGCTTTCTTCTGGTAGCCTCATAAGCTTTGTTACAATGCCTGGACAACTGATTGGTTGTCTCACTGTATTGCATTGCTAGTCAATTCAAGATTGTGATGGCACTGTGACGTTGCCTGAGGCCGACAAGTGGCATGTCTTTTCTAGTCCAAGCAAGTGACAAACAGACAGGAAAAACTGTGTAGACACAGAGATGATGGGAAATTAGCATCTCAGAGAACAGGTTGTGCTTTTCAAAGAGGAGTATCAATGCTGATGTTGGGGATTAGGCAGCTGTTATGTGTTGTGCCTGGGCCCTGCCTGCCATGTTGGACCTAAACATAAGCCACTGTCTGGCTCATTTGTTGTGCATTACTGCCCT